GACCGACCATGACTCGTTAAAGAACCTGGCCAATCAGCCTTCAGTGAACAGGCGGATTTGGAAGTGGGTTCAGGTTTTTCAGGGGTACGACTGCGACCTGGTCCATACACCAGGAAAGAAAAACCCCGCAGACTTTCTCTCATGCAAAAGTCTAAAGGACATGAAGGAGATGGTCCACGTCCGAGAGGAAGACGAGTCATTGGTCAAAAGGTTGTTACCTAGAGAGGACAAGTCTGATGACGGGATCCAACAAAAAATAGATCAAGTTTTTGCAAAGAGCAGACCAAGGTGACCCAAGCCGTGGGTAAAGAGAACGAGTTGGGACTTTCACTTTTTGTCTTCAGCTCCCGCATTTCGTTGGCGAGAAGCGTGGGAGAGGAGATCAAAAAGGGCATACAAGAGGATACATGCTGAGCGAATATCATTTCCCAACTGGAATCTGCCCAGGACAATGCGTTGACGATTGGAGATTAATCCTTTCGGATTATAGGAGGACTGCTGGAAGTGAGAGGCAGCGATAAAACCCGGAAGACACAGTGGCGGCTGGTGGTGCTAGATGTCCTATATATCAAGAAGCAGATTATGAGGGAACTACACGAAGTCCCTTATTCAGGACATCTGGGTTACCACAAAACATTAAAGAATATTCAAAAGACGTTCTACTGGCCTGAGCACACCCTAGATATTCGGGACTTTGTGATGGGATGCCCAGTTTACCAGTAGGAGAAGGCCGTTCACCGTGTCCCCACTGGACTTTTGCAACCATTAAAACTCCCAGAACATAAGTGGGCCGACGTCAGCTTGGATTTCATCATGGGTCTACCAAAATCAGAGGCTAGGAATGATGGGATACTCACAATGGTGGATCGGGCCACGAAGATGGTGCATTTAGCGCCTGTCAAGTAGACTATCATAGCTGCTGATACAGCCCGACTCTACTGGACCATTGTGGGAAAGCTGCATGGAATCCCTCGTTCCATTGTGAGTGATCGAGACCCACGCTTTGTGTCCAAGTTCTGACACGAGCTATGGAATATTCTGAGGAGTTTATTGAAAATGTCTAGCGCCTACCACCCACAGACAGATGGTCAAACAAAAGTGATGAACAGGGTGGTGGAGATGGTTTTACGCTGCACTCTACATGCCGGGCATGATGGATCGAGCTGGGAGTGGCTATTGTCCACCGTCGAGTTTGTGATCAACAACAATCCAACGCAGGCGACCGGGTACATGCCATTTTATTTGAACTACGGCTTCCATCCGTGTACTCCAGCAGATCTCATCCGCGACAGTGACTCTACTCTCATTGAGGGATTCAACAGTTTGTAGAGCAGATGAAGAGGAATTTCTCAACGGCAGTCAAGTTTCTGAACCGGGCTCAAGATCGCATGAAGGCACAAGCTGACCAGAAGAGAAGGGAACAACGGTTCAGTAGTGGGGATCAGGTGCTGCTCTTAATAGAGCACCTCAACTTGAAGAATGCACCAATCCGCAAGCTGAAAAAGAGGTTCGTTGGCCCATTCTTCATTGTCCGTCTGGTGGGACAAGTGGCCTACAAACTTGATCTTCCAAAAATATGGAAGATACATAATGTGTTCCACGTCAGCTTGTTGCATCCTTTCAGGACTAGCTCATGGATGCAACCCACTACATCTGGTCAGGTGGAGGAGATTGAGCCTGAGGATGATGAGCTATACGATGTCGAGAGATTACTGCGTTGGCAGTGGACCGGTCCTAGTACCAAGTGGCAGAAGGAGTACTTGGTCCTCTGGAAGGACTATTCGTTAGATGATGCCACTTGGACTCCTGAGGAGAACTTTACCTACTAGGAGGAGCTTAAGAAGATGATCAAGAGGGATAGATCAGTGAAGGACAATTAAGGCCACTGGTTAGCCTGATGTTTTAAGGGCGAAACTACCCCCAGGGGGGAGTACTGTAGTGTAAAACACAGGGGGTAGTGTGCTTCCTTCGTTATGAATATCTAGGAGGTATAATAAACAATCTCATTCCTTAGTTGAGCTTACTAGGAGCCCATATGCTCTTGAATCAGGCCATTCGGGTTAGCGGTAGTGGAGATATAGCTATTAGAAGTTACAGTAGTTAAGGTACCCCTCTGCACCATATTGGGGGATGAGATGGTATCGATACGCTGACGCTGCTCGCATTGTCACGTGATGCGGGGCACACCAAAGGGTGGCCCCGATGCCCGACGATTGTAACTCTTGCCAACCACTTGCCTCCGTGCGGCTGCACCCGCAGGCTGCACCGGCGTTGCGCACCCATTGCGCGCACTGCCACCCCGTGCCCGGCCGATCGCAGGCTTGGGCCCACACTGCGCACCCCGAAGGAGCGAGCGCCCCGGATCGCCCACCGGTCATCCGGTGGAGGAGGCCATTCCAGCCGCATTGGGCGCCGCGGCGGGCATATCGCCCGTACATCGAGCCGAAAACCACGCCATCAAGCTTGTTACAACCACTAGGCATTTCTGAAGAACCGTGGACTAAATTGTCTATGGATTTCATTATACAACTACAAAAAACTAAGGGTGGCCATGATGCCATCATCGTGTTCATTGACAGGTTGACCAAAATGGTGCACATTGCAGCCACCACTACTGAAGTCTCCGCAGCAGGAGCAGAAGACTAGTGGTGCAAAATATGATCAAGCACCACAATCTCCCCTGTACAATGGGCAGCCAAAGCATGCTAAGTGGTATAGAAGGAATGTGTTATTTAATAAAGAAGATGGCATCCTCCTTTCAACACAACATATCACCCTCAAGCACCCTAGAACTCGTAAACTATTACCAAGGTGGATTGGGCCCTTCACCATCCTCGACCGGATTGGTTCTGTTATATATTGATTAGAACTCCTAAAAAGCATGAGCAAAATATATCCAATTTTCCATGTATCAAAACTCAAGCCTTATAAGATAACTGGCAGAGTACAGCCACCACCAAACTCTATCTGTTATGTGGCTATTGAGCCCACCGTGCGGCAAAGCAATTGACTGCCCCGGATACGCCCACCGTTCAAGGTGGAGAGGCCGGCCAACCTCCAACAGCCGTGCGGTAGGGCAGAGCAACCCAGCGCTTCCAGAAACCAGCGGCTATCGACGGGGCCATGACACTATCAAGATCGAAGGGGAACTGGAGTATGAGGTCGAATGCACCCTTGACAAAAGGATTAAAAAGCGTAGCTATAGACAGGACTCCATTGAGTACCTTGTCAAATGGTTGGGTTATGACCATGAACATAACAATTGGGAATCAACAAAAGCAGTTGCCACTGCACAAGAATCGGTTCAAGCTTTTGAGAATAGTAGAACTCGTGTTGCTTATATGCAAACTGATTGCAGTACAAGCAATATGCATTGTGAGCATGTCTGTTCTCTTGTGTGTGATAGGCACTCCTGCGGTGGGCGCAGAAGAATACCGGTTACCAAAGAAACCAATCCCACTCATAGTTTGGGCACATGAACACCATGTCCATCGCTATCATGAGCAGTGAGAGGATATAGGGTGATGGACCACTCGTATCGGCTACGGGTCGAGGTCGCGGTAGAGGCAAAGACCCGGGCTACACCCAGAAGGGTCATGGTCATGGATGGATAGTCCAGGGCAGTCGAGTGGGGGGATGTATAGGGTGATCCCTATATATCATGAATATTCCTTGGTTACACGCAGGCCGAGAGGTGATGGAGTAGAAAGTTATACATTATAGACTAGAAATGAGCTTTCTAGCATGTACACTGAAGGAAGAGTTTTAATGAGGGTTGTAAGCAAGAACATTCTCCTTATAACAACCACTTTTTCTCTTCAATGTTTGTTTAATCAATAGTATGTGGTAGACTGGGCATGTGATGATATACACATCTAGTCCCCATATACGGCAGGCTTGTTAGCCATGTATGCATCCACTTCTATATGTACGCACTGGGGCAGGGACGTCCCACCTCCCTGAGGGGGACGAATGTTATGCACATAAGCCTCATGTGGGGGATGCCCTACTACGGTCTTTTGGTGTGGGGGACGCCCTGCTCAAGATATGGTAACAATACCCGAATCGGATATTATATTATTATACGATGTGGGAGTAGGCCGGGGTGGTCCCGCCTAGGTCCCTATAAGGACCTAGGTGCCCCACAAGGCAGGTCCATGGCTTAAAGAGGGCAGCGCCCCATACCACTAACATTGTTGTATCAGCCATAATGTGGCGCTACATGAACATGTATCGGATCCCATCGGAGTGGGATTACCATTTGTTCGGGTGGATGACAATTACTGCCCGCGATTTGCATGAAAGGTATGGCCACATCTTCTGCTCCGGAGGAGCATAATGTGTCCGAGGGTAAATGGCCAAACACAAGTTGTGGGTACCTCGGGTTGTTTGGGAAACGGTGAAGTCTTTTGTAATGCATTGGTCTTGTGTGTGTGTGTGGACCTGGGTGGGACAAGGAGCCCGTCCAGGCGGAAATGGCCCGCCCCCCCCCCCCCCCTTTTAAGCGTCAAATTTGACGCTAAGTGTGCAAAATTCAAAATAGTGTCTTCCCTAAAACTCCTTTTAACTAGAATTCACAAGGCCTCAAGGATGGCTTCCTCGCCACATCTGGCAGAGTATAGCCAACTGCAACTATTTGCTGTGAGTATGGTGGATTTCTATCCCAGGCGGCCTAGACAGGCACCGAACGTTAAGCGCTGGTGCTCTGTTTTTGCGACGGTCGTGTTGCTCTGAGGCACAGGTGGTGCGGGCGCTAACCCAACAGCCCAGCGGGTGTTGCGCCCAGGTTTGCCTCTGACTCGGAATCTGCATCTTCAGCGTCAATCCCATGTAGGAAGGACACCAATCCCTGTCGACTAGTTTTCTCTATACATCACCGGAAGTCTTGCGTAGCTTCTCCTGTACGGTGGCCTGCGCACACCTGCCCCACGACATAAATAACGGAACCGATTGTTCGAAGGAGAGCTAGCTGGTGGTGTTAAGCAAGGGAACGCTGCGCCATGCGCGGATATGACCGCGATCAGGACACCTTCAGGCCTGCCGTCCTGGGATTCAGAAGGAGGGGGACTGTGAGCACCGGTGGTTATCGGGTCATTGGGCGGGAGCAGCACCAATACAGGCAGGATGGCGGCCACGATCACAGGCGGCAATCAGCACTGGATCACAGACAAGACACACACGAAGAGTCAAAAGAGGAGGATGCAGCTGCTAAGGTCAGGCATGTTCATTCAGCCAACCGTCATCTTGTATACGCACTACAATAAGAACACTTGAGAACACATAGTTGTGGATCACTTGGGTACCATCAATCGAAACGTGAGTCTCAAATTCCAGCTCATTTGAATCTTTGTGTGTAGATTCTGTTCCTTAAAGTTGCCAAAAACTGCATGATATGACAAGGCCCTGGCAACTGGGGAGGCTGCGAAGGGCACTGCAGCAGCCCAGCAAGGGCATGTACATTTTCAGTTCAATCCCAGAGCCAAACCCCACACAATTCACACTATGTGAAATCGGTGGTCAATGTTAGGAGAAATACAGTCAGCCCACACATCTTCCTGCAGGACAGAATAGGGATCAGGAAATCTATGGAGATCTGTGTATTCTGATATTCATGCTGGGTATACAAGACCATGCAACATGCACCAGTGGATTGCATACAGAATGATCCGAGAATGCTTGCTGTATGTTTTGTGTCTGTCCAGGTGGCAGCAGCAAATAAGCTCATCACTAACCGCTGGGAATTCAACATAGACATATCTGCAAAGGTAAACACACAAGAGTACCACAGATTGCCCTTGGATTTGCGCTTCTGTCCAGGATTCCTTAAATGAGTTTTGGTCCACATTCTCCTGTTTTCTCTTGTGATCTTTGACCCATGTGCTTGCATCATGGCTGAAAGAGCACCCAGCTTGCCCAATGTGCAGCTGTGCCATTTGCCACTATGTCACACCCACATGAAAGAGGCAAGAAATGCCACGTGGATGGAATGTCACGTGGTTATTGATGTGGACATGTGTGTGCAACTCTTTTTGTGCCATTTGTAGGCCACAGAATTCCCAACTATATGTTTTACGAATGGTGAGAATGAAGCCTGCACAAGTTGATAGTCAGGGGTCAGTGCAGTGTACACTTGCTCATGGCAATGTGCAACTTTAATATCAACGCTCAATTAAGCAGTCAGCAGCACCACGTTGAAGTTGATCTGCACAGAGATTCCAAAACTGAAATAGGACCATTCGACAGCTGGTGCTCCCAATTGGACCTCAATATCAAAGCCTATTGCCTGTTGAGAGGACCAGTAATCAAGGGCAGTGCTGGAGGAGGGAGGGTGGTGTTGGGGGTGGATTTGGGTAGGGACATAGGCAGCTGGTGTTGGGTATGTCATGATCATCATTATCCAGAACTGCCATGCATTGATTTGCTTGGGCATGGTGCTCAATCAGTGTGTGTGTCACTGTACAATGAGCTCACCACTTGCCTTGTGCCATGATTACCATTCCTTCACTGACATTCTGAATCCCAGGAGGTTTGCTCCTGGAACAGCGAGAAATCAGGTTGGTTTTTGGTGCAGGTACACTGTTCCAAAATGCAGAAACCATGCATTCAATAGAAACTAAAACTCAGCAAGAGCTGATACGGATTGTTTCAATGTGCATCCTTTGCTCTCAATACAGCATCTTTGTTACCATTGCAGTTGCTCAATGACAATACGGACTTCCTAGTTGTTGGTGTGATTGGCGGTGAGTGTGACTGCACGATAAAGCCTTTTAGTGCCCGCTTGTCCATTGACAGTGCAACCCAGCTGCCAGCAACTAGGTGCTGTTGTTTGAAGAAACTGAAGTGCAACTTGAACACCGCTGTGCACTAAAATGTGTTGCCAATTGCTTGTTGTGCCATTTTTGGGCAGGAGAATCTCCACACTCTTGTCAATGTACCTTGTGTAATGCATTCGCTTGTGGCACCTACAGGACCAAGGAGGCGAGTCCACCGAGTACACCAAATAAAAACAGCTACTGTTCGCTGGATATTGCCATCCACTGTTTTTCTGTAACATTTCATTTTCTTGCCTAGCAAGCTGCACACCCTTGTGAGGGTAACTGTAAAGATGTACAATGCTTAACTTGGGCGATTGTGGTACTTTACAGGACAAGGAGCTGGCAAATCGAGCATTCTTAATTCAATCTGTGGTATGACCCCCTGCCGTGGAGGGAAGAGTCAAGCAGCATTCTGCAATGTTGAATGAGATATGGACTCTCACATGTTGGCTGACATTCTATGCAAAATTCAACTTTATGACACAGGAACCACACAAGTCATTGACCGTGAGATATGTGTCAATTACACTAAAAGTCATTTGGTTTGCTGTCCACCCAGGCTTCTCACACTTTCCCAAGCAGTCCAGAGGCACTGCATTCCCTGCAGCTGCTTATGAGCAGCATTTATCAGGGAAGCATTGCACTGTTGGAGTTGACATCAGGGTGAGGCCAATGTCCGTCCATTGATGGTGTGCTGTTGCCCAGAGGCAGATGTATGCTGGTGTTCTCACACCTTTTACACACAGCACCAGCAAGTCTTGGTTCTGGTTGTTCTTCGCCGCGTCAGGATGATCTGAAAGTGGTCGTTTGTAAGCATTGAATGACACTTCCGGAGTGAAGATCTTTGTTATGTGTTGTTAGACAGATACGGAGCAGCATCAGAGCTTTTGTTGCAGCACACCAGCATCAAGGCAATACACAATGTATTCATTATTGCCAGCCCGATCCTTGTGTAGGTGCCTTGCTTGGTCACCAGCTTACCTCTGTTGGCACACACCAAGTTACATTCTGAGTTTGGATGCTGTAGATGAGCAGTGATCGTGTGATTGCACTGGACACCCAACCTGTGCTTTCGGCATCCCATCTGCTGGAGCTGTTGGACAGCCCGAGCCCTTCCATGGAGATCTCCAGGGCACTCACTGTCTCAAGTGGCAGGGGCACTCGGCCAGCTGAAGCATCTGCAGAGGGTGTGCAGCTGATAATGGCCATCCAAATGGCTGTTTTTCTGTTCAACGTGTGTCATGTGGTAAGTTCCGCTTTGGAAACTGGAATTCGGACAACAGGCCAACAAAAGCAGCCCTGACCTGCTCTGAGGCTGACTCCTGTTATGCCATGCCATGTCTTATGCATCACTGTTTGCAACAGAAATTGTACAAGTACATGACCAGGCAAATGGAACTTGAATGTTCCCACAGGAGCTGATCATTGGTTGAAAATTGTCACTTGCTACTTTTGAGGGATTCTCATGTAATTTTACACTTTGTGTGTGTGTGTGTGTGTGTGTGTGTTTTAATAGGTTTTGGTGGTTTCCAATTGGATGGGTGATAATGGGCTACTGGATTTGATAGAGTGTGTTGACATGTTCGCACCTAACATTGCCAAGGGCATGTCCCAGGCTGGCGTTTCCAGAGGTATTCCATTTCGCAGAGTGGCTGGTCTGGACTGGCCTTCCAGAGCTCCTTGTGTAGATATACCTGGTTGATATCCAGACAAAATCAAGTCTCGATTTTTCATCTGCCAGACATGCAGTAAGAAGGCATGGGAATGGTGCAGCTGGGAGGTGTGCAGGCCCCATGATTGCCACCATTCTGCATCTTGCCTTCATCCTTGTCCACCAACAACTATGGCTCCCTTGTTGGTTCCCTGGATTCCTTGTTCCTGTTGTGAGCTGCAATTGCTAGCTTTCTACTGCATTTGGCATATTCTGACATCAAGAAGCAAGTATGTGTAATTTGCATCTACGGGCGTCACAACAATGAGATGCTGTGTTGGTGATTCAGAAATACTGGCATTCCTTTGGTCTTTCCTTTGCTTGTAGTAGGTGGTGTTGGCTTGGATTCAGCAATTTCCTCCGCAACCTTTTATGTGGATTGTGCATTTCTGCATATTCGTGACCATTCTTATCCGAATTTTGTACGACCTGACAGTTTGATGTGTGCCAATATGTTGCAGCGCCACACACAAGAATGGCGGACATTCAGTTGATCGGATTTCATGCTCTGAGGTCCCATTTTGCAGCGTTGAGCCGTTGTGAGCCTCTGACATGGATGTGTCTCTCACTTCCTTTTGCGTTGCAGTGCCACACCAGCTGGCAAAGGCTGTGTTTGTTAAGTCAAATGTTCCTCCAATCGACTGGGAGGCATCCAAGGTTGCAAGAGTACAGAGGCTGCTGCAGAACAAGATTGGGGAGTCAAAATTTTGTATTGGAGGTATGGATAAGCCAGTGAAATGTGGTTTGGGCACTCATGACATTATTTTTCAGGTGACTGCAAGGCTTCACTTTTATCCTTTGAAGCAATAGAATGGTGCTGATGCAAGGGACTCCATGCGTCATGCCTGGGCGTCTTGTTTGCAACATGGAGTTTGCTCTTTCTGTCCACACCAGCAGTGCTACTGCCCTTGTCTAGCTCAAGGAGGAATTTCCTATCTTGGCTGCCAACTACTGTGCAGGTCGTTGATGACAAGCGCGTAACCTGGCTCGTTTCTCATGCAAGATGCAGCAATTCGTGTGAATGCTGCAAGCAGCCGGCGAATGAATTTCTTTAGAATGCGACATTTTCTCAGCATCGACTAATCATCTCAGGAAGTTTGCAGAAGGAGTGGTGGCTGTGGGTGGCAGGACGTGTATTTCACTGTTTGCGGCTGAAACTTGCCGTGGGCAATAGTGGTTGACCATTCTGCTAATGACTCAATGCTAAGCCCTGCAACTTCAGCAGATTAGCACACAATGGCCTCCTCCACCCCTGCGGAACAACTGATACATGTGGGCATGCATACATGTCTGCTGGTGTCGTTTGTGCCAGAATGGGCTTTGACGAAGGGCAACGATGTCCCAGACGTACCATATGCGGATTGTTCACGAGTGAACCATGTAGTCTGGTTGGGAATTTCTTAGGCTGGTGTCATGTGCGGCAGGCCACGTGTCCTGCTGGTCTGACACTCGATTGCAGATGCCGAAATCCTTGGCATACATTCAAAAGAAGGTGGGTGCTGGCTCTGGGCACTGTGCTGAGCTGGTGAAATGTGCATTCATGTTATCCGTTGAACCTAAATTCTTTGGCAGCAGCGAGTTCGCTTGTGGTCTGACTGGATCGCTGCCTGCGATGCTGGGTGCCTCAGGATCAGGTCAATTTTTTTGTGCTGCCACAAGCTCGACGCAGCAGAAGAGCTGAAGCACCAGAGCCCAGCCAACACCAGGTGCGGTGGATGTGTTTTGCGGTGCGACAGTGTAGTCAACAGACAATCACCCCCAGGGATGGATCATGAAATGAACATTGAATGGTCCTGAGGGATGAGAATGTGCTGAAGTACCAATTTCAGAAAGGAAGGAAACGCCATTCTGGCATGTGTAGGTTTTTTAATGTAATCGATGATTGCATTTTACACATCTGGTTGAGGGTTTTGCCGAAGGTTCCCTGCAGCGCCTGAGCACAACATTGTCAAAAATATGACGACGGGGAGACAAAATCTTGACTGAATGCTGCGTCTCAGTCCCCTAGAAGCCTGCAGTGGTCTGTAAATCAAGGTGAATCAGGTATTCTTACCCATTAGCTGAACATGTCACCAAGGGTAGAGGTCATTGTTTCTGCAGCATATAACATAATCAAAGAAACCAACCGTTTTACACTGGCATTGAGTTGCAATTCGAGTTGGCTCGGACATCGGGGGAAGGAAGGCATATTGGGTAGTCTGGATAGCCGTCACGCGCTTGAATCCTCGACTGCATCATTTGAGCTTTGTTGAATGCACAGAGGGATGGCAGATCAGAGATTTTGCAGTGGTCTGGTAACTAGCACTTGCAAAGAGCTGTTTTTGTTTAGGCCACGTGTGTTCTGACAATGCCGCACTATGCACACATGAATTCGGATTGTTCCAGTGCAAACGAAATTGCATGTTGGCGTTTTGCTTTGATGCCATTGGTTGTGTGTTTTGATGTAGGTCATGCTGGATCGCTTGAAGCTCCAGATCTTGGGTATCAATCCTTCCCGGAAATTTGACCACGGTATGACAGAGCGCGAGTGGTTTAGGTGGTGTGAAAGTGTGTGGCAAGGAGTTCAAAAGGACAACATCATTGCGGAGTGCTACTTCAGGCTGCAACAGACCATTTTTAGCGGTGGGGGAGGGTGGTAACTCTGTCGATGGGCATGGGCGCCAGTGATGGCCTCAAGCAACAGAGCCGCCTGCAGCAGGACTTTCCGACAGCCACGCAACCACCGGGGCTGTGGCTCTGAATGTGCTTCCGTTTGGGCACCCGCCATATGCGTAGGAATGCCAACCATCGTGAAGCGCGTTTGGTGGTGTGAGTTGGGGAAGTGGGACATATCCGAGCTCGGACTGGACAATTCGATATACTGTCTACTGTTGTAGGTCGCTGGTATTGCTTATTTCACTGCCCCACGCCACGAGCGTGGTCTCCAGTAGTCAGTGTGTCGTTTGAGTTGCCATGATAGGGCACTGTGCCGTTCTAACTGATGGTTCGGTTCCGTGAGCGGACGATAAGAAGTGTGCATAATAAGCTGCGATAATAAGCTGCGACGGCCAACAACTGCTCCAGTCTGCTGCCGCGACAAGACAGCAGTCCAAAGCAGCCGCTTACTCACAAACATCCCCCATTTAGGGGCCACCTGCCTGTTCCCTATCTTGCTTGACTATGGGAGTGCCAGCACGACCGCCAGAAATGATGGACGGCAGGCGCCACGGGGAGGGTGAGCTGGTCTGCGTGGTTGACCAGCTGCTGTCTTGTGGAAACCAAGCGTTTCGGCAAAGCCATTACGATGGTGAGCAGCTGCGCAAGGAGTGCAAGAAGTGCTGGATGTTCCATCTCACTCATTCCGCAGCCCTTACGTATTAATAAACAGTTCTCTGCTACAGTCTCCACGGCTTCAATGCCATTCGCGCGTGTGCAATGAAATCTGAGAGAAACAGAGTAGCATTTGCAGAGTCCTTTGGACACATCATGCACATCATTGATGTGGTGCCAATGACATATGGAAATACCGTAAACCCATGTCACGAGTAATGTGTGTCACTTGCATTGCCGCCACGGCCACACAACCGGCGGCGGTTATATGGCTGCCATTGATTGGCTGGAGAACGTTGCACACTCGCATGGGGAGCCCCTAATGGACACAGGGATGCATTCTGTGCCAGTATCTAGTTCCATACGTGCCCGCTTGCTCAGTGTCATTCAGCACAATTGAGGTGTTGCCACGTAGAGGCTCGATGCTTCCCACATGGCCAGCAGCTGAACGGGCAATGGCGCACGTGGTCGATTGGGCACCAAATCTCTGTGTCTGTTCTGTTCTCGGACAGAAGCCATCGGATTCTACGACAGAGCCCTCACCATCGACACACGCAACTACAGGGCACTGTGCAACCGCTCCGCTGCCCACCTTGCGGCTGGGCATCGCTTAAAATCGCTGGGCGATGCGAGAAGGAGCACACTGGTGAAGCCTGACGGGCAGAAGGGGTACTACAGATTGGGGATGGCCTTCATGCAGCTGTGCTGTTGGGAGCTGGCGGGGCACGCGCTCAGACAAGCCAGGGAGAAAGGGCCGGGGGGTTCCCAACTGGTGCGTCAAGGACGAGTAGAGAGTGCATTGCATGTTGGAATGCATTTTATTGTCCATTTTCTTTGACATCAAGTGCACTTACAGCCAAGCACAGCGCTTTCCATATGTGCGACAAAAGGTCGCAGTATCTGCGAGGGTGTCCAATGTGCAGGTCCGTGTTTGGCTGTATTCAGATATCAGTCAGGAGAAAGCTGACTTTTCCACACCGTGGAACGAACGCCTGCGCTGATGCATTCCTGCTTCTGAATTCCTTCAGTGCATTCTTGTCTCTGGGAGAGATGCTAATGGAATCCCGCATTGTCTATCCTGGCTGGCGGTTTCAATAAACGTGGCCCAGAGGATTCCATGCCAGCAGAAAAAAGGGTCCATGATTGGGCCACATATGTGATTGCGGGCATATGCCCTGCAAACCTGGATGCCCTACTATTCGCCAGTTGTCTTCCACATGGCTGCGCAGCTGCCACCACTGCCTTCGTGTAGACTGCAATGTTGGCCAAACATTTCATGAGAATTGGCACATGTATTTTCGTAGTCCGCTGTAAGCCATTTTCAGGTGGCAACAGAGACTTTGAAATCCTTAAGCCGAGTCTAACCTTAGCCACTTTGCTCAGGAAACCAAACTTGCGCGAGCTACCGCGGAATGTGATATTGAAAAGGCATCCATTGTGGCTCAACACGATATCAACAGACGAGACCTGATTATCAGGCTTAGGAATGCACGGAGAGTGAGTATTGGGCACAGAGAGGGGGAGGGGTGGGGTGGGGTGGGGCGGGGGTTCGACTATAACATCTTGTCCGTCACGGTTCTCCCCTTCTTCTTCTCTGCGTTTTTTCATCTTTATCGCAGTGTTTGTTGCTTCGTTTGCTTACCCTTGCAATTCGTTTTCCATTGTTACTACAATAGCTTTTTGGGGGCTTTAAAATACAAATGTTATCTGGGTCTTTCACATTTCGCAAACATTCCAAAACAAATTATCCTGGAAGCGGGATGCAAGTGCACATGGACGGGACTGCGGAGATGCATATGAAAATGTGCCAAGTAGCAGCCGTGGAAAATACGGATGTGGCCAAAGCCAGCAATACAGATATATATGTATTCTATTCCATATTTTGTTTTGAGCCTAGAAATGCATCTAAAGCTTGGACAAAATTTTGTACAATTGTAACCTGAACGACATGTAAATTCCATCAGTCAGTATCTGATATCCAACCAACCCATGGATTCATTGCATACTGGCTCTGCAACAGCTCCTATGTCATGGAAGAACCTCATTTTTGAAGCACACACACAAGAGCACCAGGTTGGCATTTGCTCGCCTTCTACTCACGCTTGAGCCAGAGGGCAGCGTGGATCATTGCAATGGCATGTGAATTCAATCGGTCAGTATTGGCGTCCAAGGTATCCATGACGGAGCTCGTGTAAGCGCGTCAGTTCCTCGCTCAGGGCTGTAGACACGTTCCCGCTGAACACCGCGACACCAAATCCAATGGCGCCGGCCGGATAGCAACATGGCATTCACCGCTGACCATCACATCAATGCCGCGGTAGATGCGTGTACCCCACTGGCCTCTGACATCCGCAAAGTGCTTCGCTAACACATTGGAGAGCTTTAGCATTTTCACTCGCTCCTCGCTGCATCCACAGCACGCCCAACTCCTAAGGTACCGCGACGGGCAGGTCGTTAGTTGATCAGTCTGTGGGATGCAGGTTTGCTGGGCATTTCCCCAGAAGAATGCCGTTTGTTGATGCAGTGTATTCGCAGAAAAAGGACAACGTGGCGTCGCTGTGCAGAAGGTTTGAATATTCTTGAAGTAATACGGTATGAATGATTCTCATTTTTGATGATATAAAACTTACCAGCGATAGAGCTGTTTCATTCGTTTCCAAAAGCGTCGCCATTTCATGTCACTGGTATCGCACTGAGGACTACCTCTGGGTGGAGCGAGAGGACTTGTTATTTGCTATATGTATTTCTAGGTTTTTTAGAAGGAAATGAAGCTGTTGGTGACTCTTCACTAGTTTCACTGTAAGTTTGCACACAGAATGGCGTCCGAGACTCAATCACGAGACAGTTTCAGCAAAGCATGGTCGGTCCTGAGTGGGAAATCGAGGATTATGATTGGTACGTTGCTCCTTTTTCTGCTCGTTTGTGCGAGAAATTATGTCTACTTCCGCTGAGCTCCTGCCACTAGCGTACTCGATATTTCACGACAAGAAACGCTTGCCCCAGATGCCTCTTTGAAAATTGTCATTTCACAATCTAGAGCAAATCGCATGTCACCTTTGCTGGATTTGTGTTCAGCGAACCAAGATATGTCGACAATCGAACCACTTTGTGGCTGCTTTGCACCTTTCTCCTGACAGAATCCACTATATGAAAGTCGCAGAAAGAAACAGCGGGTTCTGATCGTGCATGTGATAGTCTTAAAATGTACCATAACCAACGCATGTGGGATAGGGATGGACGACAAGCAATTTGCACCTTCTTCCAAGAAGGCTTGACGAATGCTGTGTAGTCTTTGATATGATATTCAAATTTTCTACTCTACGCTAAAATTGCAAGGTGATTCACACCCGTACACCACATACAAACTGCTAACTGGCATAAAATGATCGCCCCCTGCATTTGTAGAAATTTGCGCGCATGAAATGAAAACGGCGGCTGCGATAGCGCTACCAAGAACGATTGGCGCCAATTGAATGCAAATGCGACGATTTTTGAAGCATTAGCGCATGCATAGCCCCCTGCTTTCAATATGTTTTCAGCTGTGGCAATACTGATTTTCAGCAGTGAAACGATTCCCAAACATAAAGGAGAAACAGTAGTCAAAAGTAGCCACAAGGCTCAGCACGTGGTGGTTTGGTTACACCCAATCGCCCGAACAAGCTGTTGCAAAACACTATCATGTCCTGGAACATCAGTGCTGTTTCCATTCAGATTGCATTGAAGTGTGTGAAGAGGACGGCGCACGGTGAACATATTGGCTGAAGAGCTTAACATATTTTTTTTAAGCTGCTGGCAGCAGAAGGTTTGCCCGCCACTGCTCCATCATGCGAGAGAAGGGCATATTTTTGCGTGAAGCATTTCAGGCGCCGTGGCATCTTTTCCGCATTTCTGAAAGGCACTGCCCGAGGTTTCATGGTAGCAAGGCAAAGGCCGCATTTTTCGACAACGGTTCTCCTCACGCTCCTGAAGACCAGTTTGGTCAGTTTTCCATTCTTGCAGAAAGGATAGAGATGTTGTCCAGCTTCTGTTCCGCTCTATTACAATGGTTTTTTCATCTGCAAATTAGAACACACGCATTCAGGCAGATGTACCGCTAATCTGGTATATTAGACATACAAATAGTCGCGCATTGTCGTTTGCCTTGATAAGATACTTGGCAGTCGAAATAACAAAAACAGCTCAGAACATGAGACTGCTTCACGTTATCTTTGCGTGCACTGAGGCAAATTTTTTCAGACGAGCTTCCCCACGAGAATTGAGTGCAATGTGTCATACAGTGTAATCCTCCATAAACGGTCCAGGCGCGCGTCAAATTTAGTGGTCATTGTTTCGTTCTTGACGACGCTGCAATGGAGGACAACCTTTTGTTGCAGCCTTTGCCTCAACCGCTGGAAGCGGATCTGAGGTTCCTTTGTTCAGATCAAGGAACACTTTCGTATGTCCCAAATAGCCGGAGCACATCATTGTTTTACCCATAGCGGTTGCACTGCCGGTGGATTTGCGAATGCTCGACAGTTCTTGCTGAAGTCAACCAGATGAGAGCGGGGATTGCTGGCCTGCAGGCGTCCTACATTTCTTCCATCGATGAAATTAAACCCACTGACAAGGACTCAAATTGAAGCGCAAGAGCATCTCCCGCTTGTTGTGGACTATCTGCGGGCGTTGGAAGAGCTCAACCAGCCAGCCGATTTGCTGAGCCTCCTCTGCGACAATGATCGAATGACGTTCTTTGCTACATCCATCGGCAAAGCATTGAGAGATCACCCGGGTACAAGCTATGCACTTGCTCCTCCAGAAAGCTCATGTTATCGTTTGTAAGTTTTGCGTTGAAATCCCTGTTGCCATAGTGCATTGATCATGGTGCTGCACCTGTCCACAGTAATTTGTAGACATTCTGTCTGAAAGGGATTAATAACACTCAGAACTGCTGCAATATTGCCTCTAAATTTCGGCTAGTCCGAAATTGACGAAAACTCATCTACATCTGGAATTGCATCGCAGCACGCAATCAGGAGTTGCGTCGAAGGTGTCGGCATGTACACCGCTAGAGCCCTCAGAACTTCAGACTGATGAAATGAAATTGGGTCAGATATGTGCCGATGAATTCTGATTTCTTCTATCTATGAGTCGCATGGATGTTGGCATGCTTGTATACATTGCAAAATGGCACAAATATTGTTCAACACTACTGCAATGTTGCTTCCACCAATAAACCCCACACCTCCACCCCCACCCCACCTACGCCCCACTCTCATCACAGGCCACATGGTGATGATCACATTATTCTTCACCAGCATGTGCTGATTGTTCAGCGTCAGTGGATGTGGCCATCCAAACATCATTTTGAGGCAGTGTTCGCAGTATGAAAATACGTTCCATTGTTGCTATTGACAGATTGTTTCCTGGCTCTGGTCGATTTTTCCCACGCCTGGCAATTCTATTGCACTGCCATGTGGGAACACCTGACGAACCACCTGAGTGCCGTGGCATGTTACAAAAGAATTTCAACCACTAATCTCACGCCCTACTGTGCTAAGGCTCATGTATCGTGGTAAACGACGAAGCGATGCTCCTAAACTCTCTTTGCCTCTGGAGTTCCAGAGTTGACAAATGAAAACATTGCGGCGATGTTGCAAATACAATATGATATAACTGATGAACTTAGCGTCCCTTTTCACATTCATCTGAAATTTTGGTTTGGCCGGCGATAATTTGTGATCCAATATATTCCATATGTTATGTCCTCACACATGAAGTTCGTGTGTTGGAACTCAACGCCATACCCAAATCGATGTCGTTCTTCAGGTGCCCACATTTTGATTTTGAGTGCGGGAAGTGGCGTCCTGGCTCTCATTGCAGCCGGTGGCGGGGCCCGACGAGTGACTTGCATCGAGCGCAGCCAGACTATGTATCGCATAGCAAAGGAAACTATACAAAGGAATAGGTGAGATGCTCCCTGTTTTGACGTTATGGGTAGAATTCTTATTCTCCAGTAGCCTCGAAGACGATGCTGCTGGTACATAGCCACAATGACACTCTGTGCACTGCGCGCATCACATGGTAGCAAAGTACACAAACACAGTGGAAAACATTCCAAATATTGGGCTATTACAACGATGATGTCTGCTCGTTGATTTGCTGCATCGTGCATTGGAGCTCAAGTCAATTTCGCTCCACGCAAATTCTAGATCAGAAGTCTTCAGTTGGAAGGTGGAGTAAATGCACTGAATGAATTGACATTGATCAATCTGGGTTGTTGTTATACGAAGCTTTAGACAGGGTTGTTTGCATAACATGATTTTATATTTGTATGGAACTACGGGTTTCCTTTCAGTAGATAGTGAAGTGTGAGAGGGAGACCAAGCCCAGTTTCTGTTTACATGTATCGCACATGTTGGCGATTTGCGAATCCTTTGTTTGCTTCAAACTTCAAAATATTGAAACCAAGATCTCAAACGTACCGCGAGGACAAAATGCTGTCTTCTCAGCAGCATTTTATGTGTACTGCCTCAATCATCGGAAGTTCCAGAGTTGACATCTCAGATTGCAGAAAGCGGTGAACTTGCATTCGAAGGATCAATAAACTTAGGATTTTTTCCTGGGGTTACCAGGAGATTGGAGCTTATAATCGGTACACTATGGCTAATTAGTCAAACTTCCAACACCGGTTTCGCTCACATCAGCACAACCAGTGCACCACAGGAACACCTCAACCGTGGAAGGAAAATAATGCCGGCCATTTAGCAATTCCAGCGCACTGATTTCCTCGAAATGCCAAGTTCGAGTCCCACTTTGCAACCGAAGAATATCTTCGGGTAATCTACAAGCCGATTGACGTGGACATGAAATATTCTTCTACACATCTAAGATACTAGCCTTGCAATTTTTGCCTCGTCTGATGTAGTAAATCTAGTGCGTTTGGGTGCAGAAGAACTTCCAACACAGAAATCATAGACTTGGTGCCATGCGAGGTACGTAATTGCTTTGTCCTCGGTACAAGCAAAAGGGAAACTGGGATTGAAAATACTGATGGTAGAGATTCCCGCATCTACAAGATTGAAGAGCAAGCGGACATTCTGGTCACCGATTTGCTGGACCACAGGTACATCGCACTTTCAGATATTGACATACAAAAAATATTGGGTAATCCATTTCATGGTGGGGCAATCCTGATTCCTGAACACGAATGTTTGATATCAGTTCACTTGTGCACTTCTTTTCCGGGCGTCCCGCAGGTTATTTGAGATGATGCAGTATTTGATTGTTTTTAACGTACCATTGCAAACCGCGATATTTGTAGTGCATAATCGAAACAGAATAGCATCCATAGAGTATCCATTTTCCCGGCCGTATTTTTTGCGACCAATGCTGTGGAATTGTTTGTATTGGTACCCACAACTTTCCAGACATGGGAGCAAGATTCTAACTACAGTTTTGACACTTGAGGGATCCACGCGCTCCTCCTGCCATATCTATGCTCTTCTTCGAATGCTCAACCAGGATCGGGTCTGGATATACAGCACACAGTCAGCCAGTTCACAGTTCGTTTCTGCTGTTTCATGAAGCGCCTTTCATGGTATTCTTTCATCAATTGCAACATATATGTTTCTTTGGCGCCCTCTATCGGCAACAAAACTTCGCATTCTCCAAAGCAGTAATGTGATATCGTCATCAAGACATGTTGCATTGCAATTGTGGAATATAGTTGAAGCAGAAACCAAGTTTTTTAGCATTTTCTATTTTGAACCTTTCTGAACGCATTTCATTTCCATACGCAGCGTCCTTGGGGCGGGGATCCTGCGGTCGGTGGATCATGCTGCCCGATTCTTATTGCGTCCAAATTGCCAGGTCATTCCACCCAGAGTTGAAGTCCATGCCCAGATGATCGATTGCCATATTTCGAGGACTTCAGGATTTGACTTATCAGCTCTAAATCGATACAGATGGCATCCTCACGTCGAGAAGGTGGATATGGAAAGGTGCGTACCCAGTTCAGGTGACAATAAGGACTATATTAACTCCGCACTGCCTGCATACTGTCGGGCAAGCAAATATATACCTTCACATCAGTAGACTGTTTTTGCACGCTCCCGGGGCAAAGCGCACTGTTTCATGTTCCAACATTCCAGGTCTTTTGGTCATTCAATCATGTCTCTTGTATATGAAGCCTTCTGATGCACTTAATTGTGCAGAAGTAGTTGCCGAAAAGTAAAACGTGCTATGAAATATCATATTATATGCGTAATGGGCTCTAAAAATCGGAAGCTTCAGCATTGACGCGTACCTCGGAAAAGCGTTACATATCCTGGATATGGAATAGGATATGGAGAGGCCCCATACCAGGATATTTAATAGAATATGAGCGCTCATATCCAAGCATACGGTCGTATATAGGATATATACTGGATATGTATATACACGATATGCGATCTTTTCCCAACGCAGTTTGAGTTGTTTTTGAACGCCATTCCAGGGCTACGGTTTCTGAGCATATGCACTGGACATGCCAACACTAGACATTGTTCTGCCTTCTGGAAGCACGAATTACAGGCTGTCAAGATGCTGACACGTCGTACGGGTTACTGTGGCAACAATAAATCATCCTACTAAATTATGTGCTCAAACGCTTTCAAACTTAATGACAAAGCATGCGGCTTTGCAGTATGTGGCTGCTCACCCCCTGATGAGCAAGCCTAAGCTCAACAGACGAGATAATGAATAATGGAAAATATGTACGGCATAGTTCACATGTCATGGCCGTCTGTATCTTTGAGGACCTGGCGGATAACAAGGTGCTTTCCTTATTTTGACAGTTTGAAATTTTGGCATCATTTCTGGGGGTTTTTAATCCGTGTGTTCTCAGTCAGCTTCAAGCAATTGTGTCCATTTAGGCATCGCGCCAGGGTGGGGTGAAAGGACAGCTGTAGAGGCCTGAAACGAGGGCAAAGGCGTCATTGTTGATATCCTTGAGTGTGGTTTCCGAGCTTCGGCACTGGATGAGAGTGGCCGGTCAGAAGCAAAGAATCACCGGAAGGCAACACAGCGCTAACGATAGCATACACTGCCGCTGCAGTTCAAGAATCGGGCCATCTACTTCTGCGAACATCCCGCAAATCAAAATTCAACTAGTGGCTCAGCAAAACCCACAGCTTGAGGGCAAACAACGCAGTGGGAAACTTGGGGATTGCGTGCACTACATGCGTCCATTCTTGAGAATCCATCGTGGAATTAGGTTATTCGACTTCAAAAACCTCCGCCCAACACACAAAATGATAAGGAAAGCAGGTTGTTTGCGCTTCAGCTCGGTTTTTTGTTCCAATACTATGCTTCTAACAGCTGATAATATTATTGCGGATGCACACAAAGGCCCATACCATCGATTCACAAAGTATAAAAAAGCAAATTCAGACATTACTGAAAAACAAGCTAAGTTTCAGTGTATCGAAATGCTGACAGAGTAACCTCATTTCCCTCGCAATTGAACAAAACGTCCGAATGAAATCATTTCACTCTCAAATGGATGGAGATATTTTTTCCTACTGAGGATACATAAAGGATAATGAAAGACTTTATAAGATCGAACTTTCGTAGAAACGACACGATTGACATGATTGAGAGTTCACCATTCTCATGTTTTGCTTACAGAAATGGAAGTCAGCTTATCGAAAGAACGTACACAGGAATTTGCAGTAACATGTCTTTGTGTCTTGTTCTATTTTGGGCGTCTGATAGATGGCCGAAAGTAAAAATGCACAGTAGGCACCCAACCTTTCGAATATCGTATTGATCCCGCAGGAATATCCAGAATAATACCGATGCGTGATTAAACGGTAAAACGGTTAAAGACCTAAGGCAAAACGGTTGAAGACTGTATCAAGATAAGTAAATTGCATGGCTAAAAATTAATGGTTAAAAATAGAAGAGATTTAATGGTTAAAAGTAGAAGAGATCTGAGTGCCTCACAAGAGCATTCAGGGAGACAGAAAGATGAGAGGGACTCGCGTTGCATAAGCGATATATGAATTCATTCTACATCTTCTCCGCAGATCCCCGGAGGGTAGCGAAAGTGATCCGATTTTCTGCAATTAAATCCATGCACTTTGCCTTGCAGCTTTTCAAGGGATATGTAGGTGAGAGAACATACATGCACTCGAAGACGTTTTGAAAATCGTGATTCTCTAACGGACACGATTGCATGAGTATTTCATGTGACTATCGGAGAACTACCGAAGAATCAACCTTGAGCAAAGTATATCTTAGCAGGAATCCATGTCTCCACATCTCAAATGAGCCAAGTTAAAACAAGGGGCATTAAAGAATCAAATGCGTTCATAGTCTGCCATTATACCCAAGATCTCAATTCATACAGTTCTTTGGAGATATCGGTTGCAAATCGTTATTGCAGAATGAGCTCATTGCGGAAGGTTAATCTTTACATTTCAGATGGCTGCATATTCGGGCCATCACATACAGTAAGCAATGTGTTCGAAATGGAGACCATTCGAGTATACGCACAAAAATGAGCCACTTAAACCGGAAAGCAGTGCAAAGTTCAACAAAAGGCAGTCGTTTCTCGTCAGAGAATTGGTGAACTCATTTCCCAAGAATTTTTTCTGTGCTTTTCCGAGCGCCATCGCTTTCTTATTTCAGTGACTCGGGGTGACAGCGCAAACGCCACGTTGCTAAGCCCAATGCAAAATATTATGCAGCAATAGGTCACCTCCCGAGGCATCCGATACCATGGCAATCGAAAGTTGAGAGAGAAGTCCATCCGTGCTAAATGTGCTGCTGAATGTATGGCTTATGCAGATATCGGCACCGAACTTTGTCCGATCCTTTTCATGTGTTGGATATTGATTTGCAGTCGCGCGTATCCTCAATCGCCTCCATGGTAAACGATTCCCAGCTTCCTGAAAAGGCGCCAACAATTGAAAACACCGTTCAAGTGGAGATTTTGAAAGGTGGGCTCTCTTCGTCATATCTCGTTGTGCGGCAAGATCTGTACACCTTTGTTCAAATCAGGCTGCTTCCAATAGGATGTGGCTTGCCAGGCTTGTTGAATTCGATCAGTGCAGCATAAACACGGACGCGCACTCGCACAAGCAAGCGTTCTTACATGGACCCCAGATGTATGATAATTAATGCATGGCACCCAGACAACAACAGCTGCTCGATCTTCTCAAAAACCGTGTCGACGTCGATCTTGCAAAAGGCGACATCGCCAAACAAATGTTTTTTTCAATCCATTCTAGACCGTCAGCCTGCCTTTACAAAGACTGAGGAGGAGCCCGCATTAGCAGCAGCTGGCCAGGCGACCTTTAATGTGTGGAAAATGCGTGGATACCAGCCTAAGTCACAATGGGCGGTGTGGTGAGCAAGGGAGGCATCCTAAAAGCAAAACACGAGTTGGATTGCTCCACAGTTCCTTGAGTACTATAGACATTTGCAATGGGGCGTTTTCACACGTTGTGAAAGAGCCTAAATAGCTTGCGGCCTGCCATTGCATCTGTGCATATAAGAGTCTTCACAATTTTCAGTGCATGTGCCGCTGTTTGCTGGTTGTGTTCAGGCGGCTTTTGTGGTTCTGTGGCATTCTGGTCGTGTCTCCAAGACCCACGCGAAGCGATATTTCCGGCAACATCCACTTCATGCCTAGATTCTAGTGTATTTTCTAAGGAGCGGGGTCTTCAGTTCTTTGACGGCAAAGCGGTGGAGAAGGGAGATACTGTGAGCTGAAACTCGCGCAAAATCATGTGGTATTGTGTTGGGCCCAGGATATCGAATAGTAGCTTGTAGGTAGTGTCGATTTCATGTGTCATGCAGTCACAGCGATTTCAGATAGAACTGCAATATTGCCGCAAGAATACATTGAAAATTCGGTGCTTTTGGTGCACATGGTTCTGTTACTCAAACTCGGCAGTTTGTGGTGTGGATGCCTGCCGTAAATTCACTCATACTGCACTCATGCAGCTGTAATTGGACAACGAGAACGGCATGTCACTCCCGTCTCCCTCTGCGCGTGCCCTTTTGTCTACTGACTGAATTGGTATTTCCATTTCAGGTGGAACTTCGCGTCGTTCAGGAAACCGACCAATTGGTTTTCCTCACCGTTCCCTCTCAACGAATACCTCGGCATGCGGCCCTCCCTCGATGGCATTTTGACATGGTCCTTGATGATCGCCGAAACCAGGCTTTTGAAAAGGCAATTCGGCGCGGCATAGAATTTAAGAAGTCGATTGGCTGCGAGCTGTTGACGGTCCTGGATGCGGGTGCTGGATCAGGACTTCTGTCGATGATGTCTGCAAGGTACCATCATCATGGAATATTTGACCATGTGTATTTGTTTAGTGCCTTGTTGCAGTGCTGTCGATCATTGAAGCTTGTCCCCCAGGAGCCGAGCTATTATAACTGATCAAAAACGATTTCTTAGTTCAAAGCATGTTATGTGAGGTACGACAAGGACTTGGGTGATAAATTCTTAAAAATACAGCCAACGTTTGGAATTTCTTCATGTTGGTATCGGTTTCAACGATTCAAAGAAAAGTGTATTGCATGATTGTGTTTTGCAGCCCACGACGTTGCCCATGCAAGGATGTTAATATGCTGCACATATTACGTGGCTTTGACAGGTTATTTGAGAAACAAGCTCAGCACAATTCAAAATACATATTTGCGCAATGCTCGGTCCATACAAGGCTTGAATTTTTCACCGAATATGCGAATCCTATGAGGATTTCCCCATTCATATGGAATAAAATTGATTCCATTACAGATTTCATTTACATACTTCGTGTGCCAATATCTAGGGCAGGAGCTGGAAAGGTTGTGGGCGTGGAGATTTCGCCCCATTTGTGTGATACAGGAGAGGAGATTGTTATCATGAATGGCTTTGGCGGGGTGTGCAAAATGATCAACAAGGATGTGCGGCACGTCTCCTCAGCGAACAGACCTAACAACAACCCACCAGATCTGGATGGAAAAGCACAAATATTAGTGATGGAGGTGCGTGTTCCGTCAGCTGGGTCCTGGTAGATGGAAAACTGGTCAAGTCACCAACAGGGGAGAGCTGGAAACAGTTGTCACGAGAAATCAATTCTATGAATTCCAGATGTCACGTACTACTCAGTTGCCCTACTTTCTATGCAGCTCTCTGAAATGGAGTCTGAAATGACGCACCACCTTCCCGAGAAGATGTGTAGGCATTGCTTTCCTTTCGATTGCCGTGGTTGAAACAATATCATATTATGTTGGTGTTTGGACCAATTTCCCGGAAAATGCAGGTACAAGTCTGCATTAGAATTTCCTTGGCTTCCTTACACTGGTGCAAAATGAAATGACTTCACACTGATCAAATCTTGTCTTTGGGCAGTTTGAAATTTGACTTTGTTCGGCATCGCTTTGTCTCCTGGCAAATGAAAAAATTGCACTAATCATATGAAAATAAACGTAAGTGCTCTTGAACATGCTGGGAAGCAAGGTGCACCTGGTGCAGCGATGCCGAAACCAGTATCAAAGTTGAATTTCGCCATTCTTGACACCATTTTTGTCATATGGAATTTCTTGTTTCTGAACGTGTCTGTCGCTCGCTGTGTGAATACATAGCTGCAATTGCGATTATAAACGAGCTCAAATACCACGTCACTTGAGCCATTTGCAGGAGTAATGCGTGGCCGGTCGACTCGCGCTTGGCCAGTGTCTCGCGAACCATGGGATATTCTCATTATATGACGGACGTATAGGTATTCGACTCAGGGCTCATCGGAGAAGGCGCGCTGCACATCATTTCTGCTGCTTATCGGAGTTTCCTAGATGAAGACGCAATCATCCTACCGGCGGGCGCTACTGTGTACTTTCAACTCATCCAGGTTGACCGGGTGTCCCATGTCCACGGCATTGACGTGAGCCACATCAACAGGTCAGGCAGGAAGATTGCTTTTGGCAACCCGATCGGCAGGGAGAAGCACAGCATTGCGGTAGCTTTATCAAAAGTTTATTTATTCGGTTTTTCATTGGTTATGCACTGCTATCAGTATGTGCACCTGGAAAATGACGGTACCCGTTTATTGCGGAACATGGCTTCACGTACTTGCCGATATTTACAGCTTACTGCAGTTGCCTGCTATGTCGTAATTTCGCCCAAGGGATTCTGGTGGCTTTCATCCATCATCCGCAGGAAATAATCACTTTGCCTCACAAACAAAAGGTCAGAATGCGCCATTTTGTTGGGATGTGGCGTTCGGTGTGCTCGGCGTGCTGGTCGAAATCAGAACGCCTGGGCGCATATCATCCCCACTATTTCCCTCAACATTGTTTGTCTCTGTGATTGCCAATATACAATTTTCCCAGCTGATAGACATGCCCATGTAGTCGCAATGATCAGTTATAACCGACTCCAAAAATTGAATGAACAAGAATGGCCAAGCATGCAGCAAACCAACCCTATACTCCTATATGTACATTTGATTTGCATATTGCAGAGCCATCAGTAACATGTGTTGGAACCCAACCGTTCCGATTCTGGCATCCTTAACAGTACCGAGGCCGCTTTCGTAGCGAGATTTATCTTTCAAGCAGATGACAATTAATATGATACATTTAGAATCGGATCATTGAAGTGACCGCAAAGCGTCGAATGTCGACTGAAGCTCTAGGCAAAACAAATTTGTGATACTAAGATGTTCTGTCCGCTAAATCGCGAGTTCTTTTGTGGACAAGAGGGCACCTGGTGCGCAGTTGGCTGTACGTGGCAGCGCCCTGTGTTCGTAGGTTTCATTGGCGCCCAAGCTACGACGGGATCGACCTTCGCCGTGGAAAACACATCTGGCACGCTCTGTCGGACGAGGCGATCGCGTTTGATTTCAATTTTTACGAACATGAAAAAAACATGAGGCCCGCCAGCTTGCGGGTAGAGCTCAGAGCTAAGGATCAAGGCATTGTGAATGCGGTGGCGTTTTGGTTCGATCTTCATCTCGACGAACATTGCACGCTCTCGACGGGCCCCAATGCGGAACAATGCACGTGGCAGCAAGCCGTTCAGTATGTGCAGGAGCGGAGGGTCAAGTCAGGAGACAGGGTGGTCGTCTACGCAAGCCACGACACAAGAGGCATTGCGTTTGAGGTTGAATTATGGCGTGGGGCTCACACATAAACAGATGGAAATCGCTCCCATCGCCCATAATGTCATGTCATAACAGTTCACTGGTATTTCGAACGTGGATTTCCAAGGAAACGGAGCGAAATTTCCCACAAAACCCTCTCGCTAGCCTTAAAATATTCAACCAATGTACCATTGCACTCAACATCGCAAAACCACTGTATTTGTTTGCTCTGATTATGTGGTGTTTGAGGTGTTTTTCCAAGCATTGCGAAGCCAACTGGAAGCCGTTGTAGACCCGACCCTGTCTGAAGAAATGAGTTCAATCGAGACACGTGACATCACCAATGTGTCACGCTCATCTTCATTATGGCGAATATTTTGTATTTCAATTTGCCTTCATGATGCATGCAATCTCCCATCCTCGGAGACCTTGCAGCCCATATCGACTGTTTACAAGCTTTTCTTTCACCATTCCCCCACAAATGGCTTCAATACTTCAGTACATAAGCCACATGTTGTGCTCGCCTCCAGTTGCCATATCGCATGGATCATTCATTGCCTGCCCAGGTGGATGCCATGAATGGTGGCTGTACGGAGGATACATTGTGCCCACTTATGGATTCGGCATGGCATGCATCGTATAAAGAACTAGAGAAAGTGGACGATCGGATTGTGAAGTCTTGTGCCGAGAATCCTCTGCATTACCGATCTATTACTCAAGCTGCTCTCAAATGCGGTGAGATACTACCAAATGCGCAGAAGGAAATGGGAACATCAGCATGCAATAAGCAAATGATGGAATGGAAACGCTTGGAGTGGAGTGGGTGGCGGGAAATTGTCCCGGATTCAGCACAATGGAAATGGAGAATTTCCACCGAGTTTGAGAGCCTATGTCAATACCAGGATTTTCATTGCGGGCTTGAGAATACCAATGTAAATATGGGGGCTACATGAATGTATCCCCGAAATGGGGACCCATAAATATGGCGACGACTTTTTGGTATCTTTATATGTAAATCCAGATCACTCCAATGCATGCATACAAACCCAATAAAATCGCCGCCCCAATGTGTGCATATTGTAATTGTTCAAATTAGCTTTTTGCTAGACTTCTTGCATATCATGGGCTTATCCTAATTGCATGAATTGAGTGTGAAAACACTTGTTTATTGTTTTGCTTTGTGCGTTGAAGCTACATCGCTTGCTTTGATGAGATTCAATGTTTCATTATTGGTGGAGTGTTTGAAAATTGCGCGGATCCAACATAGATGTGCTTGTCATGTTGCAGCTACAAGACCATGTGACTTGGGGGTGGACAACCAGCAAGCAGCATCGTTCTGTTGCAAGATGATGAGATGAAATTGTGAGAGAGGCAAGTGTGCCTGAATCGACCAGGCTAATGGTTGAAGACAAAACTGAGACTTGTAACTGCCGGTAGCTGGTGCAACATGCAGCACAATGAAGTATGCACAACAGATGGCGTGCATCCTACATCAACTTGCCATAGCTTAGCTTCACTCAATGGATTGGAAGGCATTCATTGTTTCATGCCAGCTCTGCCCAACGTGGCTTGGGGTTTTCCAGTTAATTTGAGTGTGTTGGGGCTTTTGTAATAATATTGAACATCATTTCAATGTCAATGTTAGAGGCCATGCCATTGACATGACCTCTCTTCATGGCCAACAAAAATATGTGTGGCATGCATTCAAGCGATACAAGACCATTTCCAATTTGTATGCAGCACACGAGTGCCAAATAATTTGAGTGTGTTAGGATTTTCATAGTGAGATTGAATGCCGTTTGAATGTCAATGTGAGAGAGACCATGCCATTGGTGTGACCTTCTTTCATGGTCAACAAAATTTGTGTGGCACGCATTTAAACAATATGGGATCATTTCCAATTGGTATGCAGTACACGAGCAATCGAATTGAATTGCGTCCATATAATTGAACGTCATAGCTACGTGGTGGGTGCCAAATTCTCCTCTGTGTTTATGTCATTTGAGTTGGGACAATGGAACATCTAAATACATTTGTGATATACTTCGTCCATCTGAAATTAATTGCCCTCTATTTGAGAGACAATTTTCATTACAAAGGACACCCTAACTTTACAAAAGAACATTCAAATCGGGTTGCAAAACACTTACTTACCAATTTTCAAAGACAAGTATTTAATCCCACCCCATCTAGAGGGCTCTCCAAATTGGCTAAAATTAGTGGCTAAAGATATGCATGCTAATTCCACATTTGCTAGAGACCCACACGGTTCTATGTCACTCCTGTCCTAGGTGTGCCAAAGACAAGTCGTTGCCACCTTCGTGGTGAAGTGCAGAGTACCCCTTATGTGGAATGGTGCTTACCAAACAAGCTCTAGAACCATTGTGGAAGGCCATTGTCGCAATGTTGGCGATTTCCAATATTTTGGCCATCCTCAGTTTTTGATGCATGGACATAAAGCAAATGGACAAAAGTAGGTTCCAAGGTATTAAGCTTGCGGTATGTGCGAGCTGTCGTTTGAAGTTTATGTAGTAGACTTGCTAGGACAATTTGCCTCGATTGAGGCTTGAATCGTTGTTGTTATGGGCAACCTGGCCCACACCCTATGAAATTCTATAATCTGCCATTTCTTGCATGCAGTCCGCAATCCATTGGAGCCCAACAAGTGCGCTTTCCTCTGAGAGACATAGTTCTATCTATCTAGCGAATCTTCTCAAGCTCAAATCCTTCAAGGGCCAAAAAATGGTTGATTCACCATTTTTGTCCAGGAGGGCCACAACCAAATTGCCCCCTAATTGTCTGTCGTTACATGTGGTGATGGCCACCACCGTCCTAAGGCGTTCGCAAAGAACTTGGGAGGCCTTTTGCAATATCCTGTGCAATGGAGTTAGAGGTCCAAAAGTCATGGTCCAAGAATCTGGGCCTAATGGGCATCTCTGATTCGGTTAGTTGAGCTTGAATTCCAGCCGCAAGACATGGCGACTTCCGCGATCAGAATTTTCAAGATGTGTTTTTCCCTACCATTCTCTTTTGCAAGCACCTCCACAAACTCTTATCCAAATAGTGTGGGTAGTTTTCTTTGGGCGGCTTTGTGGCACTGCCATAGACGCATGCTCCTCATCATAACGAAAATGGCTATTTCAACAAAGATATTGGAAAATAGGTGGGTTTCTAGTAGAACTCGGTGCTGGCCACCCGCTACCATCTATTTATGACCATAACGTATTTGTGACTTTTCTGCCATACAATCCATTAAAAAGTGAGAAACTGTCGTATTGTCTGGTAATGTAGGGTTTGGGGTTGAGGGGGTGGGGGCAGTGTTCTGAAGGTACCATTGCAGCCCCATGGGGTACTATTGTAGCCATGCAATTGCTGGCTTGCAAGCACCCATTCCCGCCACCCAAGGGGACCAATCTTGAAACCTATGGGTAGTGGGAGTATGCATCCGCAGGGTACCAAACTTGCCAAAAAAGTGGCACATTGTGGGCGCTCACCCCGACCACCCACGGCCACCAATTAAAGCCCCTGCAAATGGTGGGAGTGGACACCCACGATGTGTAGACTTGCCCAAAAAGTGGGACCTCATGGCTGCCCACCCCCGCCACCCATATTGACAAATGAAGGGTTGCATAGGTGGTAGGAATGGGCACCTGTGAGCGCCATTTTGCCAAGAATATGGTGCACCATAGGCGCCCATTCCCACCACCTACGTGGGCCTCGATGTGCCCCCTGTGGGTGGTGGGAGTGGGCGCCCGCAAGATGCTAGTTTTTGCCAAGAAAATAACACTTTGCAAGCGCCCACTCCCGCCACCCGTGGTGAGCAGTCAAGGGATGCGTGTGTGGTGGAGTGGGCGCCTGCAAGGCACCATTTGCCCAGGAACATAGCATGTTGCATCCACCCATTTCTGCTAATTGTGTGTGCCTTGATTGGCCATCCATGGGTGGCAAGAATGGGCGCCCACAAGGTGTTGCTTCTTGCCAAAAGAATGGTGCCTTGTGGGTGCCCACTCCCGCCACCTGCAGGGGCCAATCAAGGTCCACGCGGGTGGTGGAGCGGGCGCCTACAAGGTGCCATTCGTTTGGTATTTGTGCCCACCCATGTCGCATGAAATGGTCCCCGGCGTTGGCAGCAAGGTGAACCCGCAGATTCCCACAATGTTGTGCCCTCGCTCCACCTTGTTGCACTATGCACTGGCCCTGCCGGGCCAAGGTGACCCTAGCCCTAAGTGGCAAAAGAGGGAACACCATAGTCGGCGATGGGTTGGGCCAAAGAGAAGGTCTTGGCGACACAACATTACTTTAGTAAAAAAGACTCTAGAGTGGGTTTTAGGACGGCCTGGAACGGCCTCCAGAATGGTTTGGAATGGACTTTGGACTAGCTTGGAATGGACTCTGGAATACCATGGGCAATACAAGAATGGGCTATTAGGTAGGCCGTACTATGCCTAGAGGTCGGCACAGGGCTTGCAATGCCGTCAGACGCCATTAACCTTGTTTTGGGACTTTTTTTACCACTCAGTCCTATAATTTTTTCTGATTTGGCAAAATTGCTAAACTTTTGTGGCGCCAACTTTGACCTGGCGCCGTACAGTGCCACCAAGTCCAATTTCTTGCCGTAATTTGCCATCAAGGTTGTTGCGGTTGCCATCTTTTGCCTAATGGGCGCCCATTCTTGCCACCCTCGGTCGCCTGGAACGGGGCCCACTGATGGCCTCCGCCGTTGGCAGAAATGGGTGCCCACGAGGCAGGAGAGGCGCCCCAAGATTCACCCCTTGCACGTGCCCATTCTCGCTGCTCGAGCTAGCCAAAAGCGGCCCCTGCCTGTGGCACGATTCAGCGCTCGCGAGCCGCGGTCTCCGTTGGACTGCGCCGTCGGATGCCGTTGGCACCCAACGCTCGCCGTGCGATGCCGTTGGGGGCGCGACATTGCTGTTCCAATTGCAAAATCGTTCACTTAATAAACCCATTACTAATTTTCCCATCTGTAGCGGTATCCTCTGCCATTAACGGTAACGGCATA